GGTTTATACTTTATAAATACCTAGATAATATGCTCTCTTCACAAATGAATTTTATATTCATCCTTCGATGCACAACTTATATGCTACATGCTCTTGAAAACAGCCTAGAATCCCCAAACTGGGAGCTCTTTAGTGCTCCCTGTCTCTCAATCTTAACTGTTTCAGTGCAAATTGTACTCTGCCTTTGTCTTAGTTTCTTGTTGCCATGATTTCAAGATCCTACTTTACTATGAAGGTAAGACTTCTTTAACACTCCACTTTCCCAATCACATTTTACTTACTTCAAGGCAACAATTTCTCTATAATTTATATTTACTCTTTTTCACACTGCCTGCATTTTTCATTTTCTTAAGCTTCATAGGGCTTGGAGTAATTTCTGCTACATTTATCACTCTAAGTATAGCATAATTCGTATGATATCATACTCAGAATCAAGTAGATATTCAATGAAGGCTTCTTGAGTGAATGTGTTATAAGTTCATCATTTTCAAACAAAATAGCTTAGCAAATACAACTTATACCTAATGGTATTCCAAAGCAGGATTAATATCTATGAAAATTTTGGATCAGATGGACTAAACTAAAGATGGAATAAAACTAGAGAAACAAGTATACTAAAGACAGGTTTGGGATTAAACCTGGACAGAAGAAGGACTGTATAGCAAGTTCAAAATCAGTGGACCAAGACACTTCTTTTTTTTTTTTTTTCATCAAAATCCATTATATAATTTCTGCTGTTTGTGGTGAGATGTGTCTCCCTTAGGCAACAAATAGATGGGTTTTGATTTTTAAATCCAGTCTACTAATCTATGACATTTGATTAATGAGTTTAAGCCATTTACATTCAGGGTTAATGTTTTTTTAAACTTCTTTTTTGTATTATTATTATTATTATTATTTTGTAACACAGTTCCACAGGCCCTGAGATTTTCCTTCTTCTCTCCCCAAGTCCCCTCTAGGTTTAATATTAATAGGTGATAATTTGGTCCTGTCATTTTAGCAATGGGTTGTTTACTGATTAAGACTTCTTGTTATTTTATGGAATGTTCTTCACATTTGCTTGTGGTTATGGCAGGTGCTATTCCTTTTCTCTGTCAGAAAACATCTTCAAGTACCATTTGTAGGGCAGGACTGAAAGAGGCATATTCTTTTAACTTTACTGTGGAAGAATTTTATTTCATTTTCAAAGACAAAGGGAAACTCTGCTGGGTACATTATTCTAGGCTGACAATTTTTTGCTTTTAGAATCTGAAATATGTTGCTCCATTCTCTTCTGGTCTGTAGAGTTTCCTGTGATAGGTCAGCTGTGAATTTAATTGCCATTCTTCTATATGTCAATTTATTTTTTTCTTGTGCACATTTAAGGATCTTTTCCTTAGCTCAATTGAAGAGCACTTGATGATCATGTGTCATAGTGAAGATTGCTTTTGGTCAACCTTATTAGGAGTTCTGTGCCCCTACTGGATGTTGTTTCCTAATTCTTTCCCCAGATTAGGGAAGTTTTCTTTTTACTTCATTAAACGCATTTTTAAACCCAGTTTCTCTTTCTGCACCTTCTGGAACTCCCATAACTCTTACATTTGGCCTTTTAAAATGTCTTCAATACTTTTCTAGCTTGGTCCAGCTCTGCTTCCAGCTTTTCAATTGTTTCCCCATTGTGAGAAAAAATATCTTCCAGTTCTGAGATTCTTTCTTCTGCCGCTAGTATGGAGACTTTCCACTGAATTTTTAACTTGCTCTATTGCATCCTTCATTCTCAATAATTGGCTTGATTTTGTTTCAATGTGCTATTTCCTATGTGACATACTCCTTACAGTAATTCCTTGAACTCCTGTACATGCTTTTCATTGTTCTGAATTATATATCCCCTATTTTCTTGATGCATTCATCAGGTAACTCTGAGGATTGCAAAACCTTTTGTTTCTTTGTGGGGGAGTCTTCAGTAATATTTATGTGCCTCTGTCTCTTCTTTTTTTCTTGGCCATTGAACTTTGGGTTTAGCAGATTCTTCTCCTTAGGGCAGGCTTCTAAGCTGTGTTACCCATAGGTCTACAGTTTGCTTTTACTTACTGCGGTTGGTACACAGTTCATTGTTTGCAGTCACTTGTGTTACTCCCTCCAGTGAATGGTGACCAGTACAATGTACTGAGCTCAGTGAGTTTGCTCCCAGCTCAGCACATGCGCAGCTCACTGTTGCCCCTGCTGTCAGAAAGTCTTTGCCATGCTATACAAAATGCTACCTGATGTGCCACTTGTGGAGTTCTTGATCTACTGGCTATTAGGTCTAGGGGTTATCCAGACCTATTTTGGGTGAAATCTGTAGGATGCCACGTTGTTGCAATTCACTGACACAGAAATGAGTTCCCTCACAGCTTAGTGCATGCATAGTTCTGTCCCATAACCTTTGCCTTCCTGCACAAAATGATGACTGATGTGGCTCTGGTGGGTACCTGAGCTGTAAAAGTCACCCTGTTCCCACACCGCCTATTTGGGATCTGCTGCTCTTCCTCTGCTCCTGGTCAAACAAACCAGCAGGATGAGCAGTTCTTTTTCTAGGTTCATCTCCTGAGTTCCCAGTGAACTCTCCTTCCCACCTGATTGCTGGTGGAGTTCTGGCCACTGGTGGAGTTCAGATCACTGCTTGCTATATGCTGCTGTGGTATCTGGTCACTGCAACACCACACCGTGTCTCTCAGTCTCCAAGTGTCCCTCGGCCTTCGGTCTGTCCTGTCCTATTTGCTGGAATGCTGGGCTGCCTTAGTGAAGCAGGCAGGGCAGGTGACAACTAGGCCGTCGGAGCGCTTCTCCTCAGGATGCGGCCGGGAAGGCCGGGCAGGAGGACCGACCAAGACACTTCTTAGAAATAGTAAGAAACTGTGCGTTTTGTGCTCGAAATTTCCATTTGGAGAGTAGAATTACTAGATGTCTTTTTAAAGGAAAACTAGAAACAAACACTTGTTCTTTCATCCAAATTCCATTTCCATATAAGTTAATCACAAAGAAATTCATATTGTATATATCTAGTAAATATAATACAGTGTCATGCCTCATTTTCTACAGAATTATTTCTCATGGGAATATTTGAGTCCAAATGCGTTTGTTAAGCAAAGTTTTACTAGTAATCACTCTCTGAGAGATGAATGATCTAGGAGCCCTAGCAGGTTGTTTGAGAATGGCATTGCTAAATTCTCACCTTGAGACGTCACAGCAGGATTCAGCGGAATCAACTCATGTCTTGGAACATTCTTGATGCCCAGTGTTGTCTCCCAATAAAATGCCCTCCAAATACAGAGGGCATTCTACCAAGAGAAGGAATGACATCCCTTATAAAGCAGCTGAAACACTCAGTCTCTTGGTTGTCTACATTTACATTGATTCAGCAATGACCACTGCCCCACTTCCTTCTCAAACTGAGGAATTTAAGTCGAGGACAAATATACAGAAGTGGTACTCAACCATTTTCATGGGTCTGAGATGCAAGCCTGAACTCTCCCCCTACTATGCTTCTACTTCCAAACTCCTAACTTCATTATAAACATCATTAACCTCAGGAAGTTTCTTTGATCCTACTTTCCCATTACAAATCCAATTCTCTCTTCCTCTGTTTTTCCAGTAGCACTTTAACTGTATTGATCTTTTCCTGTCCTCATGTTGTAAACACATCTGTTTCTCAGGCATAATTTTTTGTCTTGATGGTAAATGTCCTGTCTCATTCTTTTTTTCAGCCTAGAAATGTAAAAGGAGCCATACTGTTGATTCATATCAAACCTACCTGAAATGTTATCTTCAATACAGAAAAAAAAAAATGGCATCTTGCACAAATGGACAAGAAGGACTCCAGGATTTACTGAGTGACTGTTGTGTTTCAGACACTCTCCAAGGTGCTAAAAAAATCATTGAACAAAACGCAGCAACACCCCTGAACTCTAGAAGACAATAAACAGACTATATGTCAACATAAAAATAATTTATGGTTGGAATAAGTGTTATAAAACAGGAAAATAAACAAGGAGATGAGGAAGGATTTGGAGGTGTATGTAGGTGATTTTGGAAATTTTCTCTGAGACAGGGTTGAACTGAGAACATACAAGTGTTGGCAAGAGGAGACTATCTTAGAAAGAGGCAATAAATTAAAGTAATATTTATTCTTAATGAGAATATAGGTGATGTGGGAAAGGGCAAGCATAAGAAGGGAATGATGGAGCTGATTAAGTGCTAATTATCTCAGATATTTGAGTAGCGTGTCACTTTTCTCATTATTTTATAAGTTTGTTGCCATTTATAATTTATTAATTATGCTCCCTGATTTCCACTGAAATATAAGAATATGAGCCTTTGCTAGCACCAAACTCATCTGGAACTATTTTCCAACGCCAAATCATGTAAAATGCTAGGCTAAAAACCATTGACAAATAGAATCTAAAAGCATTGAGATAGAGTTTCCATCATTATCAGATACCTTCAACTTTATTTATTTTTATGATCATTATTTCTTATTATCATTACTTGTCTTCCTCATAAACTAAGTTATAAACACTCTCATCATTTGTTCTTTTTCATATTATCTCACAGATGCAGAGTAAATAGCTCTAGCAAAGCTGGCATATTTGACTATATAGTAGCAACAGAAAAACCCAGAAAATTCATCTAAATTATGTTTTCTATGGGAAATACATCAGCAAATAACTACATGATTTATTTCAACATTACTGGGTTTGAAATTTATCATTAGCATCATCTATGTCTTTGCAAGAATTTGGTTATTAACATCTATAATCAATAGAAGGAAAACAAAGAAGAGAACAAGTTATTTTCTGCATCATAACCAGATTTCCCAGATGCCATGCCTGGATTACATCACAAGTGACATTTCTAGTCATGCTTGCAATCATTTGGAACATGTACATTTTCCTCTGCAATCTGGAAAGCTTTGGATGCTCTGAGCCTTGCTGTCAGCAACAGCAGTCTAGAAAAAAGGAATCACACCAAATGTATTCTACCTGATATCATCTTCTGTTGTAACTCCAGGCATTTAGTTTCTTCTTGAATTTCTTCTTCCTACAAAACGGCCCGTACAGCAGGAAAAAGGAAGAAAACCAAGTGGTGTATTAATTTATAGCAACACTGGAAAAAGACTAAGCCTAAAGAAGTAAGGTTTTGAACATGCAACAAATTTAGCAAAAGATGCCAAGTAGAATTAACTGGGTGTTATATAGAGCTGTTGGTATATACAACTGTGAAATACCATTCACAAGGTAAGATCTATAAATGTTGTCCCTGAAATAGCATATCCCAGGTGCACCTATGACAAGTATATATGGGGGCACTAATTACTCAGACAATATGCTGATGGATTTTCCATAAATAAAAATTTATGTCAGTATGACAGAACAAAGAGGATTATACTTTATTTTTCAAAAATTAAGAAGCTTATTCCTTACACTTTGTAAAACTTTTTCTGCATTCACAATTATTTTCAATCTCTGTGAAGATGAGTGTGCATATTCTTCCCTAAGTCCTGGTAATTGTCATTGTTGAAACACTAATCAGAGCAGACCTTGGTAATAATGAGGGAGATCAATTATGAAGACTGTTTAACTGACACATCTTCAATTTTTGTTAAAATAATTGTATGATAATTCCTTCATTTATTTTTCCCTTTGTTGAATAAATGTTTGTCAAAACAGAGGTGTTTTGGCCTCCTTTTGAACTTATTTTTAGAGATTTTTTTTGTTTTGTTTTTGAAAGGTACAATTAGGGAAAGAAGGATTGAAAGAGGGGGGAGGAGGGAAAAAGAGAGAGAGAGAAAGAGAAAAAGAGCGAGACAGACAGACAGACAGACAGAAATCTTCCATTCACTGGTTTACTCTCCAAATGGCCACAACAGCCAGGGTCAGGACAAAATTAGCATCCAGGAGCATTTTCCTGGTCTTCCACATAGATACAGAGTCCCAAGCACTTGATCATTCTCTGCTGCTTTCTCAGATCATTATCAGGGAGCTGGAATGAAAGTAGAACAGTCAGGACATAAACACATGGGTTTGGGATTGCAGGTGCAGGTTTTGCCTACTACACCGTAACACCAGTGCCTATTTGTGGGTTCTTAATCTTTAGGTAAAACCACTTTTTCACATCCCTTGAATTATGCTTTAGTCAGTTGTATTCTCACTTCCTATCCTGATGCAGTTTTGTGCATAGTTTATTCCTTCTAAGGCTTTAGCCCAATTAAAGATATTTTATACCATTATTATTATTGCATAAGTTTTTGGGTGTTTGTTCCACAAATGATAACTGGGAACATTCTATAATGAGAATAGAATACTAGAACTCAAAAACTGGTATTATCTGTCACTGGAACACTTCCAAATTTGTTCTAGGTTTGCCAATTCCTAGGTCATAGCTCATCTAAATCTGAATCCATCATACCCTTCAGGTTGATTAGTGACATAGAGAAATGTCCTCCGGCCCGGAGTCTTGGGACCCTGCACCTGCCCAGGAGACCCGGAGGAAATTCCTGGCTCCTGGCTTCAAATCGGCTCAGCTCTGGCCATTGCAGCCACTTGGGGAGTAAATCAGCTGATGGAGGATCTTCCTCTCTGTCTCTCCTCCTCTCTGTATATCTGAGTCTCCAATAATAAAAAAAAAAAGTCCTCATTAGGATTAGTTTCATTAAATAGGGAATTTATTTCACCTGTGTTGGTAACAAATGCTTTTCAAAATATCAAAATCATCTTCCAGTGTCTAATATCAGAGTCTAGTTCCAAGTACCTGTGGAGTTTAAAAGCCTGTGAAATAGTACTGACATGTGTGATCTGGGTAAACAGTCTAGTTATCTCAAATGTATGTGCTAGCAATTGTAATGAAAATATTCCCCAAATTACATTGCAAACAGAAGTTATAGACTAATAGTACACCAAAGGATCTGAAAAATACAGAAAAACCCAATCATACAATAACCAAGGTCTGACAGAGCAGTACAAAATGAAAACCTGAGAAATTGTCTTAGGAAAGTCTCGGGAAAAAAAAAATCTTTCAAACTGCCAAAATAATCCAGATAAAGTTGCTTCATGGATGAAAAGATTTTTTTCCTTTAAGTCAAGAAGGCTGTTTAGTTCTTTGTTGCTCTGAATTCCAGAATTATGAAATAACATAGCCCTTAAGCTTTCTTCCACACATATTTATGACTTCATTTTAAATAGCTCCTCCCAAATTTCCTCTTTAACAAGTCTGAGCTGCAAATCTCCCAACAATGTGCAGAGGGAAGGAAGTTTGCAGTCATCTTGGCGGGAGAGCTCTCAGGACAGAATAAACAAGCATCTGTCTTCGATAGCATAAACAATGTTCTATTTAAAGAACTGCACTTCTTAGTCTGTGTCTCTATTTGATGAATTTATTCTTAGGGATTTTTTTTTCCCTGCAGAGCTAGAATAAAATGACAACAGTCTAACTGCAGGGACATCTGTTGATTTTGCTGTGTGGCATTCACTCACTCTCAATGTAGTAAGAATGTCTTGATTTGCTCTTTAAAGCAGTTCCTTCCTGCTCTTATAGAACAGGGTTCTTGTGAGTCTGTGTGGCCTGAGAAACTGAATCCATAGTCTGCCCCTCAACTCTCTGGATGACCCAAGAGTCCAAGGCCAAAGCCCATTGGTCTGTACATTTCCTTTTGATCAATACATAGGTCATGTGACCCAATCATGGCCATTGAAAGTTGGTGGGATTTTTCTCTCATCATCTGAGAATATGATTTCTACTCTGACTCACTGGCCTTAAAATGCAAGTCAATTAGACAAGTTGAACAGCTGCCATTGCCACCATCTTACTAGCACATGTAGTAAAGGAAAAAAAGGAAGGAAAGCTGAGACAAACTGACAGTGAATCCTGCCAATATCATTGAGCCCTCAATTCAGCGATGCCTGGAGCAAGCTTAACCCTGGGCTTTTCAGCATATCACATAATGTATTCCCATTTATTATCAAAAAAGTATCTCTTTTCAACATGTGCATTTATTTTATTCTTATTTATTTGCCAAAGAGCAAGAAAGAAAAAGAGAAAGAGATGGTTTGTTCTTCTACTGCTTCACTCTGCAGTTGTGCAATGGCCAAGATGGAGTCAGGTCAAAGTCAGAAACCAGAAATTCCATCCATGTCTCCCAGGGGAGTATCAGAAACTTAAATATTTAAGCCATTATCTTCTGCCTCCCAGGGTGTGCATTAGCAGAAAGTTGGATCAGAAATGAAGGTTGGACTCCAACCTAAACATTCTCATGGGGGATTTGGGCATTGCAAGCAGCAGCTAAATCTACTGTGCTACAATACACAACCATATTTCCTTTTCACTCAAGAACATTTGTGTTAGATTTTCTGTCACTTCTAACAGGACAGGTCCTAGCTGGGACATCAGTGTAATCTCTAATTCTGGAAGGCAGACTTTGGGTATGTTGATGGTTGGTTTCTCTACCATATGCAATATTAAATGTTTTACACTGCTAGTGTAACTGAGAGTGATGATATACTGAGAAGATACTAAAGGCCAAGTATCCTTATCTGAAATGCTTGGAGCACTACAGGTTTTGGATTTCAGATACTGGTGTATACATAATGAGATATCCTGGGACCCAAGTCTAAACACAAAATTCATTTGTTTTGTGTCCAGCTTGGGCACACAGCCTGAAGCTAATTTTATATACTATCTTTAGTATGCCTGCAATTTGTCCGAAACTTATTGCATGAAGTCAAATGTAGAATTTTCCACTTGGGGTGAAGTAATATATACCATAATAAAAACGCAAACATTATCATTCCTGGGGAAGGACTGCATATACACTAAGCTGGATGCTAACTCATTTCTGGCTGAATGCATTGCACAGATGTGGCATCCTACAGGTTCCACCCAAAACAGATCCGGGTAGCCCCCAGACCTAATGGCCAACAGATCAAGAATTCCAGCAGTGGTGCATCATGTGCTATTTTGTACATTGTGGCAAAAACTTTCACAATGCAGGGACAACAGTGAACTGTGCCTGCACTGAGCTGGAGGCAACTCACTGAGTACAGTGTAATGCACTGGTCCCACATTGAAAATAATACTGACTTTGGCATCTTAGGGTCAAAATAGGTCCTTACAGCCCTCAGATCTAACAGACAGCAAGTTCTGGCAAGATCAGCACCAACAACCTATCTATTTAAGACACCTGGTGTCTCCATAATCCTGGTAACTGTGTGAACCAGTACTGGGAGAAAGTTTGTATAGGCAATGGTGCAACAATAGCATGGGATCACAGCAGGTGGAGTGCTGAGTCAGGAGCTGGGACTACAGAGACCATGGTGGAAGTCTAACATAAGAGCCCAGACCTGAAACTCACTGAAGGGAGTGACACAAGTGACTGCAAACAAAGACTGGATACCAACCACAGTAAGTAAAATTAAACTGTAGACGTGTGGGTGACACAGCTTAGAAATCTGCCCCAAAGGAGAAGAATCTGATAACCAGAAGTACAATACCAAGAGCAAAAGAAGAGATAGAGGCATAATCAATGTTTCTGAAGATTCCCCTGCAAAGCAGCAAAAGCCTTTACCAACCTCAGAGTTAATTGAAGAATACATCAGAAAATGGGGGATACAGACTTCAGAAAGCTCATTATAAATCTTCTGATCAACATTGAGAAGCACATACAGGAGTTCAAGGAATTTAAGGAATATTTCATATGGAAAATAGCAACACTGAAACAAAGTCAAATGGAATTATTGGAAATGAAGGGCACAATAGAGCAAATGAAAAATTCAGTGGAAAGTCTCCATAATAGAATGATGGAGGCAGAAGAAAGAATCTCAGAATTGGAAGATATTTCTTGTCACAATGGGGAAACAATTAAAAATCTGGAAGCAGAGCTGGGTAAAACTAAGAAAAGTATTCAGGAATTAAGAGACACTATTACAAGGCAAAATATAACAGTTATGGGAGTTACAGAAGGTACAGAAAGAGAGCTGGGTTTTAAAATGTATTTAATGAAATAATAAAAGAAAACTTCCTTAATCTGGAGAAAAAAATTGGAAAAC